CAAGGCACGAGTCGCCAGCTGGGACCCGCAGATGAGGACGACCAGAAGAATGTGCAGGAGCATGAGGAAGACCAGAAGAAGGTGGAGGAGCCTTTCATCAGTAAACCTACGGATTACGACTGTGTCATCCGGATGATGTCGCTGGCGGAGTTTGCCAAGGAGAAACGCATTTGGCTCCTGCGCTCTGTTTCGTCCGACTTCAATCCGGAAGATTGTCAGGATGTTCGCATCATCTCAGTGGTTGGGCTGTTCAACAAGGGCAAGACCTTCCTGTTGAACAAGCTCTTCGGGCTGAACCTGCCATCTGGCAAGACTCAGGTGACACAAGGCTTGTCGTGCGTCTACCTGAAAGAGCGACGCATGCTGCTCATCGACTCTCCTGGGGTGCAGTCGACTGTGTCGTACAAGTCGGACAGCATCGACAGGGTTGTGGATGCCCAGAGCACGGAGGCCTTTCTGTTCGAGCTGGTTTCTCAACTTTCTGACCACATCATGTTTGTTGTGAACGACTTCACGTCGTTTGAGCAGAAGTACGTCCAGATGTTTGAGCAGAAGGAACAAGGCTGCGCGGGAGCTGATCGTGGTGCACAACTTGGCATCCACGCAGGATCCACAGGAGGCGGAGGGGCTGTTCCACAAGCAAATCACCTCAAGGTATGACGGCGTGGAAACCCATCTGGGCAAGCTGTTCTACACAGCGAGGCGCAACCCGCCACTTTGCAATTTGCAAGGAAGGCAGTGCAGCTGGAGATACCTTCAACCACAGCAACATCCGCCTGCTGTTGGAGCACTTGGAACACGCCAAGAAGCTGCCTGAGAAGGTGGTGCTGAAGGAACTCCTCCGCAGCAAGGTGGACGACTTGCTGCCCCGCTTCCTGCTCATGGGGTGCGACGACGCGGGTGGACGAAACCTGGAGTACCACCAGTACCATGAGCAAGAGGCAAGAACGGAAGAGCACTTTGAGAACTTCCCGTCCATCGCAAGATCGGCTACTTCCACGTGACCTGCGACAAGCCGGACGTCAAGACCGAGGGTGTGATCTCGGACCTCGGCGAAGTGATCTCGTGCGACAAGTCGTTCAGCCCGGAGCCCATGATCTTCGACCAGAAGACTTCGGAATACCTTATCCGCACCATCCTCCTCAAATGCCCTGGTGTGCGGCCTGAGGGCGTACGCTGGGATCAGCAGGGGGAAGGCCTGACCATCCGCATTGAGAAGTCCAAGCTGATCGACGAGGGCTCAGTCACTGCGGTGTCCAGCCTGCGGCAGCGGTCTGGGGTCTACGAGAAGAACTTCCGCTTCATGGATGGGCCGTTTGAGGTGTCCGAAGACCAGTGCGCCTTGGAGTTTGGAATGCTGACAATCAAGCTCAAGAAGTGCCTTATCAACAAGCGCATGGGTTTGCAGAGCATCCATGAGTCCAGGGTAGAGGCCGTCAGCTACAGGGAATGCCAGCGAGGGCTTCTTCAAGGTGTCCAGCGACACGGCAGCGACTGCAGACTCCGCGATCCTGACGCCAGCAAGTGCCTAGTTTCGCTGACACGCTGCTCTGAGCAGACAGCTCGCACCTCGCTCATGCATGCGAGGCCGCGAGTAATACACTTGCATGCCAACATCCACCAAATTCACATGGTGCATTCACTGGTTCACAGCTGCGGGTTTCGAGTGGTCAATCCTCTCTAGAAGCTGTGGGCCTTGCCCGGAAGACAGCTGCATGTGTGCAATGTGTTGCGGTGCCGTTGTTCTACTCCGGCACGCTTGCCAGCAGCATGTTGGGATAAGACGGAAGTGTTGAGGTTCGAAGAGTGTTGCGTTGCAGCTGTGCATGATCGGGTTGGCAAGAGCCATGTTAGCCTCCAATTGTAAACAACACCAATTCCAACGAGCTCTCGATTTGCGACAGGGTAGAGTTGCACCATTAAGTAGCAATTTGGCTGAATGAGCCAAGGGCCATCATGGAATTGAATCGTGAGCTCATGTTATGAGTTGCAAGCGCAGAAGCGCATGTGTAATACGCAGGTTTTGTCAAGCCACGCCCCCTATGCAGTGCTGCTTGGGGGTGCCGCTTGACAAAGGAGTCTGTGTTCGTAGCTGCTGCTTTGTGTTTATGTTGCCTCCATACTCACAGTTTGCCAATGTGTTCTGATTCAATGTTTCTTGAGCAGAGGCTGACCCTGCAGCATTCAGTTTCCGGCTGGACAATGCGCTCAGCGTGGCGACAAAATGAATTAATTGTGTGCTTTCTGCGGGCTGTAGGCGTTTGAATGTGTTGATTTGTCGCCCCTTGGCCATGAACAGGCGCAAAAGGGGCATGAAGAGGTAGCCCGAGGCAGCCAATCAGGCCACCCCCCCCGCAGCCTTTGGGATTCTGCAAGCTGTAGCTGGAGATTTGTGTGCCTTCGAAGCAATGGGAAACGCCTGCAGCAAGGCTTTGCGCGCGGTTTTCCGATTGCCCCTCGGATTCATGCGATCAGGTCTGGCTGTTATGCGAACACTGCGAACACGTTTGTGGCCGGGCCCGGTTGGCCAGCTAGGACAAGCAGATGAGGAAGACCAGAAGAAGGTGCAGGAGTCTTTCATCAGTAAACCTACGGATTACGACTGTGTCATCCGGATGATGTCGCTGGCGGAGTTTGCCAAGGAGAAACGCATTTGGCTCCTGCGCTCTGTTTCGTCCGACTTCAATCCGGAAGATTGTCAGGATGTTCGCATCATCTCGGTGGTTGGGCTGTTCAACAAGGGCAAGACCTTCCTGTTGAACAAGCTCTTCGGGCTGAACCTGCCATCTGGCAAGACTCAGGTGACACAAGGCTTGTCGTGCGTCTACCTGAAAGAGCGACGCATGCTGCTCATCGACTCTCCTGGGGTGCAGTCGACTGTGTCGTACAAGTCGGACAGCATCGACAGGGTTGTGGATGCCCAGAGCACGGAGGCCTTTCTGTTCGAGCTGGTTTCTCAACTTTCTGACCACATCATGTTTGTTGTGAACGACTTCACGTCGTTTGAGCAGAAGTACGTCCAGATGTTTGAGCAGAAGGAGCAGTTCAGTCACAAGGCTGCGCGGGAGCTGATCGTGGTGCACAACTTGGCATCCACGCAGGATCCACAGGAGGCGGAGGGGCTGTTCCACAAGCAAATCACCTCAAGGTATGACGGTGTGGAAAGCCATCTGGGCAAGCTGTTCTACACAGCGAGGCGCAACCCGCCCGTCCACCACTTTGCGATTTGCAAGGAAGGCAGTGCAGCTGGAGATACCTTCAACCACAGCAACATCCGCCTGCTGTTGGAGCACTTGGAACACGCCAAGAAGCTGCCTGAGAAGGTGGTGCTGAAGGAACTCGTCCGCAGCAAGGTGGACGACTTGCTGCCCCGCTTCCTGCTCATGGGGTGCGACGACACGGGTGGACGAAACCTGGAGTACCACCAGTACCATGAGCAAGAGGCAAGCTCAGCTGAAAAGCACTTTGAGGACTTCCCGTCCCATCGCAAGATCGGCTACTTCCACGTGACCTGCGACAAGCTGGACGTCAAGACCGAGGGTGTGATCTCGGACCTCGGCGAAGTGATCTCGTACGACAAGTCCTTCAGCCCGGAGCCCATGATCTTCGACCAGAAGACTTCGGAATACCTTACCCGCACCATCCTTTTCGAATGTCCTGGTGTGCGGCCTGAGGGCGTACGCTGGGATCAGCAGGGGGAGGGCCTGACCATTCGCATTGAGAAGTCCAAGCTGATCGACGAGGGCTCTGTCACTGCGGTGTCCAGCCTGCGGCAGCAGTCTGGGGTCTACGAGAAGAACTTCCGCTTCATGGATGGGCCGTTTGAGGTGTCCGAAGACCAGTGCGCCTTGGAGTTTGGAATGCTGACAATCAAGCTCAAGAAGTGCGTTATCAACAAGCGCGGGGGTTTGCAGAGCATCCATGAGTCCAGGGTAGAGGCCGTCAGCTACATGCCAACGTCCTCCTTGCCGTCTGAGGCCGAAGGCCTTTGCCGCGCCCACAATGTTTCTGACGCTCACCCCTGCGTGAGAACCTCCGGCGGGAATGCCAGCGAGGGCTTCTTCAAGGTGTCCAGCGACACGGCAGCGACTGCAGACTCCGCGATCCTGACGCCAGCAAGTGCCTAGTTTCGCTGACACGCTGCTCTCAGCAGACAGCTCGCACCTCGCTCATGCATGCGAGGCCGCGAGTAATACACTTGCATGCCAACATCCATCAAATTCACATGGTGCATTCACTGGTTCACAGCTGCGGGTTTCGAGTGGTCAATCCTCTCTAGAAGCTGTGGGCCTTGCCCGGAAGACAGCTGCATGTGTGTAATGTGTTGCGGTGCCGTTGTTCTACTCCGGCACGCTTGCCAGCAGCATGTTGGGATAAGACGGAAGTGTTGAGGTTCGAAGAGTGTTGCGTTGCAGCTGTGCATGATCGGGTTGGCAAGAGCCATGTTAGCCTCCAATTGTCTACAACACCAATTCCAACGAGCTCTCGATGTGCGCTTGAGACAGGGTAGAGTTGCAACATTAGCAATTTGGCTGAATGAGCCAAGGGCCATCATGCAATTGAATCGTGAGCTCATGTTATGAGTTGCAAGCGCAGAAGTGCATGTGTAATACGCAGGTTTTGTCAAGCCACGCCCCCTATGCAGTGCTGCTTGGGGGCGCCGCTTGACAAAGGAGTCTGGCTTCGTAGCTGCTGCTTTGTGTTTATGTTACCTCCACACTCACAGTTTGCCATATGCTGTGATTCAATGTTTCTTGAGCAGAAGCTGACTCTGCAGCATTCAGTTTCCGGCTGGACAATGCGCTCAGCGTAGCGACAAAATGAGTTGTGTGCTTCCTGCGGGCTGTAGGCGTTTGAATGTGTTGATTTGTCACCCCTTGGCCATGAACAGGCGCAAAAGGGGCATGAAGAGGTAGCCCGAGGCAGCCAATCAGGCCACCCCCCCCCGGCAGCCTTTGGTTCTGCAAGCTGTAGCTGGAGATTTGTGTGCCTCCAAAGCAATGGGAAATGCCTTCAGCCTTCAGCGCGCAGTTTGCCGATCGTCGCTGGCATTCATTGGAACTATTCAGGCAATCATGGGTACATTGGTCCTTAAAGAATTCGCGGACATTCCGGCCCAGCATCGCAAGGATAACGTTGTGCCAGGCCTCTTTGGTCTTGCACTTCTTGCTGCGTCAGGATGTGCATGGCAACTTTTCCTGCAAGGCACGAGTCGCCAGCTGGGACCCGCAGATGAGGACGACCAGAAGAATGTGCAGGAGCATGAGGAAGACCAGAAGAAGGTGGAGGAGTCTTTCATCAGTAAACCTACGGATTACGACTGTGTCATCCGGATGATGTCGCTGGCGGAGTTTGCCAAGGAGAAACGCATTTGGCTCCTGCGCTCTGTTTCGTCCGACTTCAATCCGGAAGATTGTCAGGATGTTCGCATCATCTCGGTGGTTGGGCTGTTCAACAAGGGCAAGACCTTCCTGTTGAACAAGCTCTTCGGGCTGAACCTGCCATCTGGCAAGACTCAGGTGACACAAGGCTTGTCGTGCGTCTACCTGAAAGAGCGACGCATGCTGCTCATCGACTCTCCTGGGGTGCAGTCGACTGTGTCGTACAAGTCGGACAGCATCGACAGGGTTGTGGATGCCCAGAGCACGGAGGCCTTTCTCTTCGAGCTGGTTTCTCAACTTTCTGACCACATCATGTTTGTTGTGAACGACTTCACGTCGTTTGAGCAGAAGTATGTCCAGATGTTTGAGCAGAAGGAGCAGTTCAGTCACAAGGCTGCGCGGGAGCTGATCGTGGTGCACAACTTGGCATCCACGCAGGATCCACAGGAGGCGGAGGGGCTGTTCCACAAGCAAATCACCTCAAGGTATGACGGTGTGGAAAGCCATTTGGGCAAGCTGTTCTACACAGCGAGGCGCAACCCGCCCGTCCACCACTTTGCGATTTGCAAGGAAGGCAGTGCAGCTGGAGATACCTTCAACCACAGCAACATCCGCCTGCTGTTGGAGCACTTGGAACACGCCAAGAAGCTGCCTGAGAAGGTGGTGCTGAAGGAACTCCTCCGCAGCAAGGTGGACGACTTGCTGCCCCGCTTCCTGCTCATGGGGTGCGACGACGCGGGTGGACGAAACCTGGAGTACCACCAGTACCATGAGCAAGAGGCAAGAGCTGAAGAGCACTTTGAGGACTTCCCGTCCCATCGCAAGATCGGCTACTTCCACGTGACCTGTGACAAGCTGGACGTCAAGACCGAGGGTGTGATCTCGGACCTCGGCGAGGTGATCTCGTACGACAAGTCGTTCAGCCCGGAGCCCATGATCTTCGACCAGAAGACTTCGGAATACCTTACCCGCACCATCCTCTTCGAATGCCCTGGTGTGCGGCCTGAGGGTGTACGCTGGGATCAGCAGGGGGAGGGCCTGACCATTCGCATTGAGAAGTCCAAGCTGATCGACGAGGGCTCTGTCACTGCGGTGTCCAGCCTGCGGCAGCAGTCTGGGGTCTACGAGAAGAACTTCCGCTTCATGGATGGGCCGTTTGAGGTGTCCGAAGACCAGTGCGCCTTGGAGTTTGGAGTGCTGACAATCAAGCTCAAGAAGTGCCTTATCAACAAGCGCGGGGGTTTGCAGAGCATCCAGGAGTCCAGGGTAGAGGCCGTCAGCTACGTGCCAACGTCCTCCTTGCCGTCTGAGGCCGAAGGCCTTTGCCGCGCCCACACGGTTTCTGACGCTCATCCCTGCGTGAGAACCTCTGGCGGGAATGCCAGCGAGGGCTTCTTCAAGGTGTCCAGCGACACGGCAGCGACTGCAGACTCCGCGATCCTGACGCCAGCAAGTGCCTAGTTTCGCTGACACGCTGCTCTGAGCAGACAGCTCGCACCTCGCTCATGCATGCGAGGCCGCGAGTAATACACTTGCATGCCAACATCCATCAAATTCACATGGTGCATTCACTGGTTCACAGCTGCGGGTTTCGAGTGGTCAATCCTCTCTAGAAGCTGTGGGCCTTGCCCGGAAGACAGCTGCATGTGTGCAATGTGTTGCTGTGCCGTTGTTCTACTGCGGCAGGCTTGCCAGCGGCATGTTGGGATAAGACGGAAGTGTTGGGTTTCGAAGAGTGTTGCGTTGCAGCTGCGCATGATCGGGTTGGCAAGAGCCATGTTAGCTTCCAATTGTCTACAACACGAATTCCTGCGAGCTCCCGATTTGCGCTTGAGACAGGGTAGAGTTGCAACCTTAGCAATTTGGCTGAATGAGCCAAGGGCCATCATGGAATTGAATCGTGAGCTCATGTTATGAGTTGCAAGCGCAGAAGCGCATGTGCAATGTCCAGGTTTTGTCAACCCACGCCCTCCTATGCAGTGCTGCTTGGGGGTGCCGCTTGACAAAGGAGTCTGGCTTGGTAGCTGCTGCTTTGTGTTTATGTTGCCTCCACACTCACAGTTTGCCATATGTTCTGATTCAATGTTTCTTGAGCAGAAGCTGACCCTGCAGCATTCAGTTTCCGGCTGGACAATGCGCCTGCGTGGCGACAAAATGAATTGTGTGCTTCCTGCGGGCTGTAGGCGTTTGAATGTGTTGATTTGTCGCCCCTTGGCCATGAACAGGCGCAAAAGGGGCATGAAGAGGTAGCTCGAGGCAGCCAATCAGGCCACCCCCCCCGCAGCCTTTGGGATTCTGCAAGCTGTAGCTGGAGATTTGTGTGCCTTCGAAGCAATGGGAAACGCCTGCAGCAAGGCTTT